GTGTGTGTGTGTGTGTGTGTGTGTGTGTGTGTGTGTGTGTGTGTGTGTGTGTGTGTGTGTGTGTGTGTGTGTGTGTGTGTGTGTGTGTGTGTGTGTGTGTGTGTAGGGGGTTTACTTGTCTTTGCATGCCAGTATACCACCCAAGCGAAGCATTTTATTAGCGGTCTTAGCACCTCGCGTATGTGTGTATCTGTTCGTGTGTGTGCGCGTGCGTGCTTGCGTGCGTACGTTTGTGTGTGTATGGCTGTGCGTGTGTCTGTATGTGTCTGTTTGTGTCTGTGTGTGTGCGCGTCCGTGCTAGGGGGCGTACGTGTGCGCGTGCGTGCTCGAGGTCGCACGTGTGTGCGTACGTGAGTGTGGCGGTGTATGCATGTCATTGGGCAGAATCCGGAGGCATTATCGCTTATATACACTGGCTTCGTCGTTCACACCGTCGTTCTCTCACTCTCTCGTTAACACACAGCTACGAACTCTGGCAGGACTGCAACACGGACTGCGGATGCAACGTGGAGAAATACGCGCCGGTGTGCGCGTCGAACGGCGTCACCTACTTTTCTCCCTGCCAGGCAGGCTGCAGCGACGCCTACACACTCGGGGACGCCAAGGTAGTGATCTGTGTGTAGTGTCTGGTGTCTGTGTGTATCGCTCGCGCACCGCAGGGGGAAGGTGGTTGGCGTAGATTTATAACAGACAGTTCTGCTAGCATCTATGACAAATACGACATAAGCATAATGCGCTCTCCTATGTACACTATTTGTCATAGGAAGATTCTTCCTATGACAAATACTGTTGTATGTGTTGTGCGCATTATATATGAGTTTAGGAGCGCTATTGTGAACGCAAGCAGTGAATTTCAGCTGTAAAGCGGAACGAGGTTGACTCGCCATTATTTGTCATAGTAAGAATCTTCCTATGACAAATAGTGTCATAGGAAAGCGTATATGCGTATGTCGTATTTGTCATAGATGCCAGCCGAACATGTTGTGTATAAATTGTTGCCGTTTTTTACGAGGTTTATGTGTACATCTTGTTGAGAATTAACCCCCTCCCCTGGCTACGGTAGTACGGTGGCTTTACGCTCACTGACGGCGATATTGGGACGTGGTGTACGGGCTTTACGACGTTCACGTATGCGTGCGCGTACGCGTGCGCGCGCACGTGTATACGTGTGCGTGTGTGTTTGTGCGTGCGCGCACGCATGCGTGCTTTCCGTCACTCTCCGCCTCCATCTTTTCGTTGCAGAATTTTACGGGCTGCTCCTGCACGCCAGATGGCGTGGCGACTGCCGGCAAGTGTGACAGAACGTGCACCGGCGCCATGGTTGCGTATTTTATTCTCCTCGGCGTTGCTGGCCTGCTAGTCGCACCTGCCAATGTGGCAAGCTTCTCACTAAAAATACGGTGAGTCATAGTTACTGTGTTGTCTGTCAAACACTGACAAAATCTGTTTAGGAAACTTGATAAATGTATATAGGCCCTGGTTGCGTTTGTGGGTGGGTCCATCCGTCCGTGCGTACGTGCGTGTGTGCGCGTGCATATATATATATATATATATATAACCCATAGACTAATTATGTAGACGACAGTGCCCTGTTATCCTTTAACGTGAAACATGAATATGCGATTACATTATGCTTACATGTTTTCCAGAGTGGTCGAACCCAAAGATAAAGCTATGGCGTTGGGACTTGGAAGTTTTCTGCTCTCGGGGCTAAGTGAGTGCTTCATAATGATTCATGTTTCGCTGTCATTAAGAATCTACTACACACGCTAGCAGGTGTAGGTTAGCGCGATAATTCACGGACGCAAACTCTCCCTAACCATATCGTAAAGCAGTTATTTACGGCTAGCGGTAAGAGGTAGCTCTATTCATCGTCGAGCATCCGTATTCAACACAACCTCCAAAGTACGTGACAGGTTCAAATTTCTAAAAATAAACATTAAAGCTAACTTTCCACCAGTTCCTTTCGTATGCGTTTTTGTAGGTGTGTATGCATTCTTGATATTCATCTATCATCTACCATCTATTATCTCTGTGTATTCATGTTGTATAGGAGTCTTTCTGCTCTTGTACTTCTCCGTTCGTTGTTGTGTGAGTGTCTGCGTGAATGAACAGTGAATATATATATA